GTGTCGCTACGTGCAACTATTCAAACTAACGGCGTCAAAGAAGAGAAATGCTGTACAATATCTCGGATGTACAATTAAAGTGAAGCAGAACAAAGACGATACCTTGTATTTGCGATAAATTGTCCTGGTGCAATTTTCTGGATATTAAAGTCGTCTATAAATAAGAATGATCGGGTATCGCAAAAACGAAACCGAGAAACCAACATGGTGGTTAGCCTAATACTCTGCTGAATATATGTATATGCTGAATACTTGGAATATACTTGTACAACTATCAATTGGTGTCGCTTATGATCACCGTATCATCGAGTCTCTCGTGATACGCGATTCTCTACGAAGCAAACACACTCGAATGATCGTTTGTGATACTATGTAATTGTGATGTCTCGTGGAAATCGGCACACTTTTCGAAGTGACCGATGTGTGCTTCATAACTGGTACTGGCCTAAATGTCCACATATCTTCGCATAGACGAATCGTTTATAAATCGTGACTACTAACACAGCCGAACGACATTTACACGCAAATGATCAGCAGAACTATATTGTACTGCACGGTGTCACGGATTAAGCTGGCAGAGATTTCGTCAATACGTACGACTATTACGTTACCGAAGGAGCAGTTAGCGCGTTATTGTTTCGCATTGGCACCGTTGAGTATCAAATATCCTGATTCATATTGTCTTCGCTTCAATCAAGCGAACTATTGCGCTAGTCGAGAACGAAACGAATTTTATCGATCACCACGCTTACAGTTAAACGAAATTCGTGTGTATATGCATACAGTAACAGTAAATAATTAACATTAAACTAGAATGATCGTTATGAATAATAAGGAAACGCATTTCAAACGTGATAAAGTGAGAGAAACGTTTACGTCGATGTACCATTAAGTATGTATAGCGACGCGCACGATTTCCAAAATGGCGGCTCGAAGTTACCGATCCATCGGATTTCAGAAGCGGGAACTTCGAAAATCAAAAAACAAAATACCGTATTAAACAACCGGATCGTAAAGAATAACTCCCTATAAGTAAAAAAAAAAGGAAATTGTGGTAAATATAACTTTACAGATACTTTCCAGCGTAACAAAAGAATTCTCGCGTAGAATACAAAAACAGCAACGGTAGCTATTATTGCTCGTTCAATGCGTGGTATTGGATAAATCTTCCTTGGAGTTTATTCGAGCTAGTCGGACCGGGATCACGGGCCGCTAACGTATAACCGCGTGCGTAAAATTTCCCTAAATACATAGATACAAGTGTATAATACAGTCACCGTTTTTTTTTATGTACAGAAACCTACAATCAAGCTAATTCAGTATCCCAAGAAAAAGGAGGCGCTTCGACCTCTCTGGACTAAGTTTCCCTTCCTCTTTCTTTTCATCTCTTATAAAAATAGTATCAGAAGTGATCTCGTGGGCTACGCGTCTCGTAAAAACGAACATGTGAAAAAGATACAATCGCTGCATTCTTTTTTTCCTTTCGCTGTTTGTAAGTGTGTGTATGTGTGTGTGTGTGTTTGTGACACCTGTAACGGTATGAATCGAACAGAATTTGCGCGTCATCCCGCCATTTCGGGCCCTCTTTCTCTCTTTCTGTCTGTCTGTCACTGTTATAAAAAATTTACGGCGATCGTGTTCGTTTGTTCTACGCTATGTACAGCGAATGTCGGCTAACGGATGGACTTTGTGCATTTTTGCGAACTCGATCCGCTTTCGCTTTGAAAATCACGCGGTTCGATTCGCTGCCGCGCGCTTTTGCGCGGGTTCTTACACATAGACATCGATCTCTAGGCTTCAGTTGTATTTTCTTCTTTTTAATTTCATCTACTATGGTTTTGTTTAGCCATGTCTAGGCTTTGTTTCGCCGGTTGAAGCTGGTAATTTTGGGAGCTGAAGAGACAATCAGCGTTTAATATAATTACCCGCGTGACAGTCAGTGGTGGCCGTCAGTAAACTCAATATCACGTCTTGTCATCGATCATCGTCATTTTAATGAACATAGAGGTGTGAAAAATCCTGACTCAAAATATCAAGTGGATACTTAGATGAATATTTCACAGCTTGAAATCCAATTACACGGTTTGAAACAATTAGAGGATCGTGTATTGGAGTCTCTCTGCTCGTCAATACGACGTATAATTCTTGAAAAGTTTTTCGTACAAATATAACTAAGTGTTAATAGTGTTAGTATTATACAGAAGAGATACTAATTTAGCATACCTAGAACACATGTTTCATTTCTTTTGCTTGGTGGATGCAACAGGACAAGCCCACATTAGCGATCCCCCAATTCTTTTAACCTGTATACTTTAATCCACTTTTACGTCATTAATTCTCCGAATGTTTGGTAAAACTCTGCGAGAATGTAGTCATTATTGCCACATGTCTACAAACGTTATTCATAGAAAGACTTTTTGATGCCTCACACATCAGCGGATATGATCAATATAAAATTTATTTCACTGTAATTAACGCACGGTTGAACTAAGTTCCGATTCGATATTTTTCGATCGTAATTTTTACACATAAAATGCAACCCGTGTTACGATGAAAAAAGAAGAAAATTCATATTTCTGGAGCTGTGAATTAGATTATAGCAATTCTCTCAAACGCCCATCACTTCAGCTCCTTGCTACATATGAGGATCACTAGTGTAGTTTCAAGAAACAATCGAGGTATTGGTCGCAAGATCATTAATCTTAGTACATTTTCTCAGAGTACTCCCCCACGAGCTTTACAAAAAACCAAGTGGGAGAGTGTTTCTGTCGCGTCATGCAGTACTTTTTCCAGTTAGGTTCATCTTGTGTTTCTCGAAAGTTTTCCAGTGTCGTACGTACCTACAGAAATTTCTGTATGGTTACGTCCACATGTCCTCGTATTCTGTTTCGCTTAATTTTTTCCTAAGAGACTCGGCTGTGCTCGACGAACGAGCCCGCGAGTATTGTTAATTATCTAGAAAGGACTACGCACGTACGACCTGCATACGGAATTACCTATGAGGCATAAGCTTATTCGGCTCGATTGGCTGATGGGAGCGTTTGGTGTTTATCTCTAGCACAGATTTAATGGTTTACAATTGTATCGTGAATAATTCTGCAGTATCTTTGATTTCACGCTGACGTAAGAAAAATATGATGGCACTCGGTGGAAGAAATACAGAGGGCATGAGAAAATGTTGCATTACTAAATGCAATGGATTCCTTGAGTTGTCACTGTCAATAAAAGCTTAGATCGAAGGCCAGGGTGAATGGGTCGCAGAACCTACCTGTATTTTTTCTCACATTTTTGTTTAACTCTTTGAGGCACATGATTTTAAAGAAAATAAGAACCCTAGTTGCACAGAATTTTTTTTAATATAAAAAGAAATTATATAAAAATAAAATATTAAACTGTATGACTATGAGTAACTTCAACTTTTCGAGGTGGGATAAAATATATCCTACCATGCATAAAAAGCTAAGCAAAAGGTGAGACAGTTTTTAACCTACCTAACCCTAAAGAGTTAATACCGTAATAGTACCGACACTCTGACATGTCAGTAGAGAAATACGAACAAGAAAGAATACCCTAACTTTTCTGTCAGATATTTTTACACTTTCTTTATTCACTATAAGTCGTGATCCTTCACCAGATCAAATGATTTTTCCTTCGTCCAGTAAAAATGTAACGGAGAAACTATGCCCGAAACGCAACGAATTTTTAAAACGACCCAATACATAATTTATATATTACAGATTCTTAATCCTGCTTGTGTGGTATTATTCTTGTTGACCTGAAACTATTTTTAACATAAATGTTAAAGACATAAACAACATGATTTTCACAGTAGGTTCGACAGACCCTGCCTCCACCAGCCTTCTTAAATTCGATCACACTCGATTCACCGCCGAGGGACATTTTTGTCGCCTACCAAGCAAACAACCACTCTTGCAAATAGCGTGCACGTGCTCCCATCATTGTGTGAAGAACAGTTTGCCACGGCGGAGATAATATTGCGTTAGCCTCGAATGGACAATTGACTTCACGTTTAATATACTATTTCGAGTCTAGGTACACGTAGTATATAATTTTATCATAAATGACAAAAGACACATTAAAGGATATTTATATCCTTGGGGATGCTTTTCTCGGGCCATTTAAACGGAACCTTAAACGGTTCGAGATTCATAACATATTCCTTCCATCGAGTTGTTTTTTTTTTTGTCGAATGCAATATGAACGATGCTAGGAAGAATCCGTCACGTGAAGCATTGCGTATATAAATACGAAAGTTACGTTTCTCGCGAAGGAAGCACCTACACTTCCTCTGGAGTCTCACGTGATTCCTGTCTGGATAATCGATCGTGTACCGCTGGTATCGATTCTGTGGAACACAATGGTATGTATATTTGATAAAAAAGAAATATTCTTTTCTTTTGGGAATGTACATCTTGCATGGGTATTAAATTGTAATCGTGAGATGTAGCTCCACCGAGCAGGCTCGAGGTCTTCGACGCGTATATGTACATATGCATGAATAGAAAGAGGAGAAACAGCTGATTGTCTTATTATTTTGGAAAAAACACATTTTGAATACCTGCTACAACTAAAATTAATAATTTTGCATTAGGGGAAAGTTTTTCGAAAAATTGTGTAGAATTGGTCACTGCAGCTGATTGATTATCGTTATAATACAATTGATTGTTTAAAAGTTAACTCGTAGACTTGCAATTTTAATTTCCCGTAGAGCCTACTATAAACCTCGAGTTCGCTCAGTATAGCTATATGTATAATAATTACAGTAAAATAAATGACGAGAATTCGTTTCTGTCAGATCGTCAATTTGAAAATGTCGACAAATGATAAAGAATTTAAATAATATACCACATCAAAGGAAAACCAGATGAAGATTCTACACAGCGTACCGATAATTGTGTATCGACAATCCCTTGCCAGGACATGGAATACACCTCATTCGACGTATGGTATGTATCATGATCGGAGAAGTGACTAGTCTATTAAAATAGATCTTCCATGTTACCGTAGTTGCGATCCCAATAGCCACCTTGGTACATCCAGTCCTCTTGACCAGTGTAAGGGTTGATTTCTAATCGGAACCACCTGTGTAACACGAAAAATTTTCTATACTTCTGTGTTTTACTATTCTTCGATTTTCAGTATTTTAGAACATGTTTGAAGATCTATAATATTTATATCTATAATTAGAACATTTTTTAATATCTTCGACGTTTGGATTATTTCTGATAGTAAGAATACTGTCACTTGGGTTGGAATATTAATATTTTCTCCAATTTTGAAGGTATGTTTAATAAGACCTGTACACGTTAATAAAATAATAGTGAAGTGTCCGGTACAATCATTGTTAAATAAAACAACTACAATATTTATCATATACGTAATTAAAAAAACGTTGTTTTGTACAAATAACTTATTCTGCACTATCTTTGTAATTTTATATTGGATTTAATGTTAACTATTTAATTTCGACATTCTGTGGATAATATATGTTTAATACCATCAATAATTTTGTAACCATTTTTTATGCCAGTACACATACGAACTGAATAAATTCAATATAACACGAATACAATAAAAATTTATTGTATTTCCTGAATACTTTATGTAAAAAAAAATGAACTCAAATTCTGATTTAGATTTTGTTAGAAAATAAAAATGATCGCCCAGATAGAATAATCACAGGAACATTACTTTCACATTATATAAATTATGTAATTTATATAATTAAGAAATATATTTGATAATTAATAGAATACTTAATACTGAATGTAATAACTTAAATATTTAAAGTAGAAGATTATTTCTATTATTTAAACTAAAATAGATATTAACACTTATCTACTGTCCAAGTAATTATTATCTCGATATTCTTTCACTCATGTTGAGTTAACATTAATATTTAATTAAGATAATATATTATCTTGTAAGGGTATATTTAAATTCAGTTAATAAATTTTTCACAACGCAGAAAAGTTGTTCAAACTAAAAATTTTCAGGCCTACGTCTACCAATTCTATACCTGGGCGTCCATTCGCGACCCTTCTTGTGCTTTCGTGATTTACGCGTCTCCCGTTGCTTCTCTTCGAGCCTGGCTTTTTCCACCGCAGCTCCGTCTTGATCTCCGTTCTCCAATTTTCTAATATCCGGCCTCAATCTGGAGTCCGTCGGACACAACAGCTTTTCCATTTCCGGTGTCATTTCGTTTAGGGACATCGCGAATGTTGTGAATTGGTAATACTAAAAATCAATTCGCGAACGTTAAATAATTCAACAATAGACTATGGATTTTAAGCATTTATAGCGTGAAGAAGTATATGAAATACACTAAAGGACCAAAAATTCGATCGACTTTAATAAATTTTTTATGTTATTTCCATCCCATTGAAATCTCTGAGAGAAGAATGGATTTTCTGTTTATATTCCTGTCTTTATGAATTACTTCATGAAATGACATTTTGCATAAAAATCCGAAGTCTATTCATCAGTTTATCCATTTCAACATCGTATTATAACGTATGAGTCAATATATCCTACGATACCCGTACAGATATATTTCATTCAGTTGTGCAAATAAAATATCGTTTCTTTTCTGTACACTTCTGAAACAATGGAGAATTTGTATTCATATTAATTTTAACCCCTGCATGAATGTGTACAATGTTTCCGTGTTTGAGAAACTTTTTAATATTAAGCATTTATACATTTTCCGTAGTTTATTTTTCCTGGCAATTACAAAATGAAAATGTATGCGAGTTGTTCCGAAAGTAATGAAACTCCATTTTGTTAAAGTTTATTTGCATAATATGTTTCATAGTTAAGATTATGGTATAATATGTATGCAATTATGTTGCAGGCAGTGTATAATTTCTAGAACCTTTTATTGTGAAAAAAATAACTTTCGATTTTAGTATCAAACGGTGAAGAAGTGAACTAAAAATCACTAATAATGAAATATATACTTCATAATTTTATTTCTTTATTTTATGATATTTAAAACTTTCATATTCTACATTCTCAAACATTTTACCTCTTGAATGATCAAGAGTTGAGACTTTAAATAATAATTTATTATTGAATATTCTACGATTGGTATTACCGTACCAAAAAGGACAGGAATATAAAATTGATACTTGGTATGCAAACCTAACACTTCGTGATCACCTTACAGGTTATTTTCTTTAATTTTGTAGCGAAAAACTATAAATAGTCTATAAAAATAATAGTGTATGATTATTTACCTCTGAACTATTGGGCGGCCTCGAAGCAACTTCCCAAAGAGTGATGGATCCGGGAATATCATCGATCATAGGTGTGTCTTCTCCGTCTATGCTCGCCGATGGATCGTCAATTGCATCCTTGAATGTAACAAACAACATTACGCAATGAAACAATAATAGATAGCAATTTATTTCCTTAAATAACAACTGATATGATTTAAACCTATGTACATAGACTATTCAGATATTTTCCGTTGATTTTTATCGAGAACAGCTCTAATAAGACATTAAAGTGCATTAAAATTTCACTGCGCTTTTCAAAAGAAATAGGATTCATAAAAAAAATTTTCAATTTACTAACTCTTTCAGTCAGGGAACACCTTCTTGAGTGAAAGCTATTCAATATGCGGAATTTTAATGAATGCAAATAGAGCCGAGGAACGAATGCATAAGAGCCCACAGATATAAACTGAACAAGCTTCTATATTTATTTCAAAGGTTGAGAAGTCGCAGACTACGAGCTCTCTTTAAAAGTTGTAGCAAAGTGTTGAATTGAAAGTTTGCTTCAAAAGACGTGTTATAATGGGCTATAAATAGACCTAAATCAAACCTAACCGGATCGTTTCTGGCCAGTAATAAAAGTTCTTGCGAACGTATTTCAGAATTAATCTTTAAATTAAGTTATATTATTATTAATATATTAAGTATTATAATTATTAATATATTAAGTTATATTATTATTAATTACTAAATAAATATAGTGCTTTAGCTAAAGATGTAACTTTTGAGTTTGAAATGGAAAAGTCTTTGTCATCCGTGACTTAGAGTCTGATTTTTACTATTAATTAAGATAGCTGGTTGTTAGTCGAAATATTGCACAGAGAATTCGAACGCGAACAATGGGAATATTAACATGAAAATTTCATTATTATGTGACTTGACTACCTACAGCTTTATGGTGATTAGCGGTCGCCCACTGACTGTGAGAGTCCATTATGAATTCTTTTTGTTTTATGTAATCTGGGACAAAATATGGAGTATGAATGGTATGATCTATGGTATGGTTAAAAAAATTCATTTAAATATTAACTCTTAGCTCAAGAGTATGTACCTACCTACAATCCACGAAATTTAATTAAATGTCACGACATTTTTACTAAACTCTAAATTAATACACTAAATTAATACATTATTTCTTCTACAATAAACTCTATTTAAATAAAGTTTACATATTTGTACTGAGAAATCACATACTTAACGTGATAGTATTTTTTTTTATAAAAAAATTACGAATTTCCATTTGAATAGTGAGTGCAACAGTTAAAAAATTGTTAATATTTTGTATTAATCGTATTACATCCCTCAGAAGAATAAAATGATTTTATAGAACACTTCAAATACCTGGTGAGAAGGCTTGAAAGCTCCAACCTTGAGACTGTGTAACTTCGCCAATACTTTCTTGTGGCCTGGACTACCTTGAGGACTCTTCGCTTCCCGTTTCACCCTTTCCAGCGCGTCCTCGTACGACACTGGCTCACAGACATTTATCTTCTCCGTCCATTTCCCATGAAGGTACAAAAGTTTCTTCTTACTAAACAACAAAAAAAAAGGTAAAAATCGCTTGACCATCCCATTGAAATCATTTATAAGCGTGACGCGAGGTAGCACCTGATTTTCCAGTTTCTCACGTAACTCGTAATATCGCTGCTTGGTCCATTAAACAAGAACAAAATGATTCTTCTTACAGAGGAATCAAAATTGATAAAATTAAAAATGATTAATCCTTTCGTTACAAAGGGTAACTAGTCACCCAAAGTCAAGGGCTCGTTGTGTATGAACCCCTTAACAATCTTTGACGAATATACACATCATGTGAAAAAATAAAGTATGTAGTTTTGGTTACAAAAATTGCAATTTTTGCAAAAATTGAAAAGTATATTCCTTTTATTGGAATAAACGAATCAACTGATGTAAGATTTTCATATATACAAATGTTTCCAAGTTTTTTTAATTACAAATTTGTTAAGTTTGTATTAATATTATTTGTTTTATTAATGAGTTTAGGAACAATAAAATTATTGGTGTTTTAAATTAACTAACACGTAGTATTTACCACTTTGTTATAATTTAATTCGAATTTACAGTAGGTGCATTTGCATTTTGCGCATGGCACTCCGCGTTTCACGAGTAGACTCTTCATTGTTTCATTTTAATTGCGCACGCAGATACACATTTTCAAAATTCCCCTGTTAAAGGGATTAAAGGTAACTTATAATCACACCCCGCGGACCGCTTTCTGTATCCTAAAGGTGACTATATTCGCCAGTGAAAATTTCGTATCAGTTAAAAATCCAATTAGAATTAGTGTAATTAATTATATTCATTTAGCGGCCAACTTCGCCGGAACCAAAAGGTTAAAAGAGTTACAGGACTTTAATTACACATGACGTTTTACGTTCACACTTCGATACACGATCTTTGCGGATCACACGGATCGTTTCTACCATTGCAGATTCAAGTGACGATAAACTGTTACCAGCTTACTCTTGATCCGTTATGAAGCCTTCAACACGATGAAGGTCCTTTCCGTTGCAGGTACCGCTTTTGAAGGACAGCGTCGCTTTTAAGTTCGCCCCACCATTCTGTTTGATCTCGAGGAAGCCTAGTTGTTCCATCCACAGCTGGCCGACCAGCACGTTGTGAAGTATACAGTTGATGTTCTGCCAGGTGTACGCTTCCTTCCATCTATGAGCACGATTTACGTTGAACGAGTTTAGAACAGTGTGTCAGAGATATTAGTCAGAGGCCTTTCTTTTTATGAAACTTTTAGAGAACTTCAGAGGTACATACAGGGTGTCCCAAAATAGCTTCAACTCCCGGAAATGAAGGGTTCCTGGGATGATTTGAAATAACTTTTTCCTTAACAAAAATGTTATCCAAGGTTTCGTTAACGAGATATTAACGAAAAACCCCGACCAATCAGAGCATGAGTCTGCCGGCCGAGCTTCCGCGGTAGCGTTGGCTACCAATCGCAGCGCGTAGCCAACGTGAAAGCAGACTCGCGCTCTGATTGGTCGAGGTTTTTCGTTAATATCTCGTTAACGAAACCTTGGATAACATTTTTGCTAAGGAAAAAGTTATTTCAAATCATCCCAGGAACCTCTCACTTCCGGGAGTCGAAACTATTTTGGGACACCCTGTATAGAGGTCCTAGCGAGTCCTAGGAGTAGTTCCTGAGGAAACGTCAACATTACGACATCTTCTGCATCCCAACTTCGGATCCTCATAGTGTACACTATATTAATTCAATGAAGTCGTTTATAAGAAGAACACGAGTGTCCTTCGCCACATGAAACCATCGATATGCACAAACCGAATGGAACGTTTTATAGAGTGATAAAGCAAGTAATCGTCTTATAAGACGAATCAGATCTTGTAGCAGATCATGATCGACCCAGCCACCCGAAGGTTAAGGTGAGATTAAATGTCTTATCAGCGTCAGTCGCGTCCATCAACGACTAGACGAAGTAAAAACTAGGATTTTTCGTTTAATTCGATCATATTCGATCAGTTCCCACCGCGACAGACAGGTCTCACGCTGATAAAAATATAAATACAGTTATCTCCGCTTAATTGACCTTGTAACTTTTCAATTTTTTTGATTAACATTTTACAGCAGTCCCCGACTCATCCTTGAATATAACAGAGAAACAAATAATATGATATAGTAAGTTCTTTCGTACTTTTTAAACTTTTCGTAACTTACTTTTTTAGTTAATAAACCGTTCTTTCGTGTCGGGGGTTTTTTAAATTTTTATTTTAATTGCATCTCCGTATTTCAGTTTCCATTCAATCCTCACCCACAACAGCTGGAAATTCATAAAACACCTACCCTCTTGATAACTGCCGCAACGCGAGCCTAAGCCTACGTCAATGAAACGGGAACTACTGTATACAGTATGCACTTACTTGGGCAGCTCGACGGTGACAACGCCTTTTGGATGGATCTCGATCGATTTGCCCCAGAATTTTAATTTCGGGTGTATACTCCCGTGGAAAAGAAACTCCTCGCCGTCTGCATGGAAAGCAGATACCGGCGGGTGATGCGACACTTGCTCGCAGACTATCCTGAAATAGTGATTGCATCGTTGTACGTCGTTAGTAAACTGCAGATTTTTTAGCAAAATGAAATCTTATAAAATGATTCATGAAGATTGAAAGAAAAAATGTAACGTACTTCTTAGACTGACGAACCAGTTTTCTTTGGAATAATGATGAAAAAGTAAAAAAAAACCAGTGATTTTATGCAAAGTGTTTAATTGAAACAGTTTGAAATGAACTGAAATTATCTACCTATTGTGATTAATTTTATTTTACATTGCACGTGAAAAATTTTAAATTAGACAAATCTAAAATTTGTAAATATGCAATTAATATGTTCGAAATGTTTCAACTGTAAACTTATTTATGATTTTTATGCAAAATGACATTTTATAAAATAATTCATGGAGACCAAAGGGAAAAATAGGAATTTCCTTTTTTCCTCAAGTGTCTCTCATTTGGTTAAGAATAAAATAGAAAATTTGTTGCATCTGACGAAAGTTTTGTCTCTTTTATGGTATTTAATGGAACACTGTATGCTATAAATGCATAAAAACCGCAGTAGTTATTAGTACACTGTGGACGTTCATACACATTAGATTTTTTTACGGACCTTTCAATTGTACATTGATCAAATACACAAGAAAATATGAAGATTTTGAAAGTTTCGAAGAATATTGGTAAGAAATTGTAAAAACTTGTATGTTATTTATCTCCATTATTCTACGACATTTTGAGTAAACGAAAGATCGGTAAAGTATTTTTAAATTGAATTGTACTGCAGTTTTATTAAAAGGAATACGACATTTCTTATTGATACACCTGAAAGCTATCATATTTTTAACAGTATAAATTCTAATAGCAACAATTTGAATATTCAAATAGTTACCGGAAGTCCTCGCGCTGAAGCTCGTAGGTCTCCCCTAGTATAGGATTGAAAGGTTTGCCAAGTCTCTCCCAATTTGACGCCAAAGCGCTGACAGCAAAAGCAGCAACGTACTACAAGGATAACCGTGTAAATCGTATTATTATTAATTTATGAGTACACACAATGATTCAAGTAGAAGATAGTACATTAATAGATGTCAGTAAAATTTTAGATAGAAAACATTCCCCTTGTACCAAGAAAACCCATTTATTCAGGTAATAAACTTCTAATTAATTTCTATTTTCATAAACTATTCTACAAAAATGCAAAGTACTGCGTTAACACTCTGAGAATATATTAGACCTAATTATAAGGTAGCGTAATAATTTACACGCAGAGTATTATGTAACTGGTGCCACAACTGGGTATTGGGAGATTCTACATAAAAAAATAAAACGAAAATATACAAAAAAGTTTTCTCACTTAAGACTTCGTTTTCGACAAAATCGGCTTTTAAAATTAATCTGAAACGCGTGTTTTCGTCTTGGTAGAAAGTAGAAACGGAATGCAATGAACAGATGCGCTAACCAAGTCTTATTAAATTGCACGCGTATCCAGCAGATGTTCAAAGACGGTTTTCTCGTAAACGAAGTCTCAAATGAAAACATTTTACTCTACATTCACGACTTACTTTTTCATGTAGAATTACTTCCTACCAGATTATACCACCAGTTATACGATACCCTGTATATCTATTTGCTTTTCTTTAAAGTGTTATCCTATATGAAAAATAAATTTCAAGTACACAGTACAATTATTTTCACACAAGTCTCCATTTTCAAGTAAATCGCCTATCAAAGTTTATTCAACGTATATGTATGCATTCGTGCTTACAATAAAAAGAAACAACGAATAATGATCAGACACATTAGTCCAATCCTATTCAACAGCTGTGCCTATCATATTTTCAACAGAGATGGGCAAATTCATTATCTACAATCTAGATAAACAGTTTCAAATAATGAATAGAAGATAAAAATGTACTTCGCGATTTTCAGTTGATTAAACAACTTGAATGAATAGGCACTTAGCAAACGATTATTCAAGCTCATTAACTGTTTGAAAGCCTGAATTACGATTTTACTACGTATTGTTTGAAAAAATTGATCCCAACTCTGATTTTCAACTCGTTTTCAAGACTTTTATCTAAGACTGCCGACGTATTTTTGCATGAAAAATCACGATATTTTCAGTCGTACCACCAGTAGCATACCACCCTATACAAGAATTTCATTTCTTTTCTGGATGTGTTGATGATAATGTAGTAATCGATTTAAAGGAGATCGAATAAGAAGAAATCTGAATGTAATTATATACAATTGATAATACTACTTGTAATATGAAATTGATTATTCAAGCTCACCTGCATCCTTCCGATGGGAGTTTCCTCTTGGGACGCTTTCTTGAGCAACTTGGCGTACTCCATGTATTCAGCGACGCGTTGGAGGAAGGAAAGCGGTTCGTTGAATATGACCGGCATGGCGATTTTGCTTAGGTCCTTGCCCAGCGATAACACTGAACAGAGATTCACTTCCGAGTGACCGGGAACTGGTAACGTTGTTCTGAAATGAATACCGATTTCTCTTCTATTATAACACAGTACAATCTTACGTAATTCCGATCAAAATACCTAAAGATAGATGGTAGATCAGATATCGTCACCATTTATGAATACACGAAAAAAAGACTGTTCAGTCAACTGTTCAAAGAGGAAAGTAGTAGAACAAAGATTCTTCTTTTCTGAGATCTTATATTTTTGTCCACGTTCTTATGTACATAGAATAAAAAGAAACTGGACAATATTATTTTGAAAATGTTTAGAATGGCTAGTTAATTCTTACGTTCTGTTATATTACCCATTATAATACTCTGATATATTTTTAATAACAATTTTGAAAGTAAACAAATACTTTTTCAACCATCTTGTCTAGCATTGAAAATTAACAGTCAATTAAGTCTGAGGTAGTACAAACAGACAATTATCTATGAAAACTTTTTGTAAATATGAAAAGTACATTAAAAAGTTTGCTTTAGCCTTAGGTTTCTACAAATTAATAATGACAAACTAGGCCATGTAATAAATACGTAAACGTTCATTAATATTTCAGCTGTTCACCATCCAAAGTTACTACAATATCTCTACTGTCACATCTTTTTCAAGTTTTGAGTGCCAAAATATTTGTTTAGTACTTAACTTTTTATATTTTATGTAATTATAATTTTGCGGAGTTAATTACCTTGGCAAATAAACGGCTCATTTGTAGAATTATACAAAATAATACGTTACTATCAGAAAGTGATCATTAAATAGTCTTATTCAAAATACTTGAAATATAATTGGGAAAGATTTAATGGCTACTCGATAGTAACATGTGTTGCTTGAAAAGGGACAATAATTCCGACGGTCTCAAGATCCATTCGTTTTCCATGAATTAAAATACCATTACTGCTGAATTATATTAAAGCGAACTCTGATTCTCCAAATTGAACATAACAAGAAGTCTAAAAGCGTGCATGGCTAAGCAACAGACAAGATAATCGATTGTCCTACAAACGAGTCGTTCTGGCAACAATACTAAATCAAAATCAATAAATCAGCCAAAAGTGGACCAACTATGGTTATCATTTACGTCATTGATAGACTCCCGAAAATATTTATCACGTTATAAATCTGTTTATTATTAATATCAACAATTTGTTAGCTATTTGATTGCTAAAACAATAGATGTAAGTATATAATTTATTTTTGTTTAAAGTTATTTAATAATAAATAGTATAATTCATTTTAATAATAATTAGTATAATTTCGTTGATTTTCTACTTGTAACTAACTATTTCCAATAATATTCGAGATAATTAATATTTAATTATTTTGGAGTAATGTAAAACAAATCGAGCAATTATGTGAACATTTGTGTCGGACGATAATGAAGAACCATTACCGAATTAACTAGAACGCAATAATGTTTCAATAGCAATATTAATCCTTTTAGTGGTGAGTAATTTTAGGAAACGTATATGTAACAATGGTACAATATTTTTTAAAAAAGAGAAAATATGTATGCCATGTTAATAATTAATATTTGTATATCGCATAATAATATTTGTTGCAAAAAGAGACCCACGCCTCTAAATTTTGAATGTTATTCGACTATCCAAAAAAGAAACTGTATTATCTAATTCATGAATCTTTATATTCGATCGAAATTTCATCCCCTTCTTCGTAAATTTTTCGTTGAGACGCGTGTCGGTATAATTACTGCAGTTATATTTACTGTAAAAGTATTTCAACAAGTTAACAATCATGTATTGTGGTTAAAATAACAACGAATCACTTTTTTTCCTAGGGAATATAATCTATCCTTTTCTGACGGAACATTATTTCTCAACATGATTTCAGACATGACATACTTGGTTCGTTTTTATTTTAACCACAGTGCATAAAAATTGAGAATATCAGGGTGGTTTGATAGGTATGCCATGCAGTGTATAAATAATCTTTTCAATACTGATTGTAAGTAGTTTAAACCGGTGACCTTAACATGGTTCTGTTCAACAATTTTACATAATATTTTACAACAGATTTTGTAAAGTAAAAATTCCGCTTTGGCTCCGTGAGCAAGACATAGAAGATTCGCCTGGCGGTTAACGTGTTAAACGGGATATGCTTTGCACAACACTAGTCAAAGTACCACTTTCCTGCAACCATGGTGCTCTTTGCTAACCGCTGAACCCAAACTTCTCTTTACCAACCCGCTGTGCTACTATACTCGAGTTCCTAAGTTTTGGTCGTTTAGCGATATTATTGCAGCAACGATCAAGGGGAAATCGACTTGTTCTTTATTCATGACTCACACTTGTGATGTCAAAGTGTACGCCATGAGGAAAAGAGGACGCTTCCGATACGGCCTTTAAGGGGTCATGCTCAGTCAGAAATTTTCAAAAAATCGATTTTTCACTTTCTACATTTTCTTCAAGTACAACATCTCGAGAATATTCTGTGCAAGATTCAAGGCAATCCAATTAAAAATGACAGAGTTACAGGTGTTAAAACTGAACATTTTATATAAGTGTAAGCTTGACTTGAAACTTTAAACGCGTTTTTCTCGAAACTACATTTTTCAAAACGGTGATCAATATTTCTCGAAAACTACTGTGTCGATTCACATGAAGCCTTTTGCGGCTTATTTCAAATCAGAAAAACTTGTCCTTGAACGAAGGATTCTTTTGTTTGTTCCATACTTTTTTTTTAATTGACCAAAAACGAGTGATTTTTTAGTTGAAAATCGCACTTTTTCAGGGAAACGTCCGCTATTTTGTTCCTAATCAATATTTCGAAAAACCCCACATTCAAGGACAAGATTGGTTCTTCCATTACATAAATCTTACTGAATTTTTAATTTCAGATGAACCGTTACGAAGTTACAGTGATCACGGCAGACCACTTTTTGTGAAGAGACATCCGGGAGATCGCTCACCATTTATTTACTAATAAATATTTTTAAATAAAAAAATTACCTTATAATCTAGAAACTGCAATCTTTGAAACACAAACACATTTTTTGAAAAAGGTCTTATAGTTTTCGAGAAAAAAATTCTTAAGCATGACCCCTTAAGATAACCAATCGATTATTGTCTATTCGATCTGAGTAATTATGTAATTTCATTGTAGCAATTTATTTCTGGTAGAATAACATCTACAACGGGTTACAAATAAAGTTAATTGTGATAATATAACTCTTATGAGCGAGAATCTCGATTCGTGACCTCGGTCCTAGCTAGATGGTCATCTGACCTAGGGTAGTTATTTCTAAAATTTTCAGAACTGGTATCAAAGACAAACTAATTTAGAAGAGAATTACTTTGCACAGTACTGGATGATGTCCGTGTTACATATAATTTTCCTACTGACATGATACCCTTGGTTCACATCAAACCTCTGTTTATGGCCCCAAGGAATTTGCTACCTCGATGTATCATTACCATCGATTCTACAAAATTTCGTCCAATCATATCTACAGACCCTATTCTAGAATTTCTTATAGCCAGTCAAAACATAGCCTGCCATGAACATCAAAATTATTCCTATTAAATCCTTTAAGACCATTTTTACATACCTTCTTTCAACCTATGTACAATTTCTTGTTGTGAGTGTTATTTGTCAAGCTACATTTTTACAGAAATCACATGTTTATTTGGATGGTAAAGAAATGTTACATTCTCTTGCTTGTACTAGTCTTATTAACACGTTGAATGCCGCAGGATTTTCGTACATTTCAGCCACAGCGTCGAAGTAAAATTTTCGTTACACAGAGTGAAGAAGAATAAAATGTTATATAAAAATATTAAAGTCAACTATGTTATCATACTTTTAGCATTTAGTTTCTAGAAGTTTACCGATTTATGGTCCAATATTAATAATATCGAAAAGTATACTCCCTACAGTGGGGGTCGCTGATGACCCCCACAGCATTCAACGTGTTAAGAATCGATGAATACCATCGAATATAATATAGAAAGGAATTCTCATTTTCTACACCGACTTGCAGAATAATCATGCTTAACAAAATCCTTCAAGCTTCATTGTCACAGCTTCTGAAGGCATTTAACGGCAAGCTGATCGTACGGTTAACAAGATCGTCCCTCGACCATCGTACTCTTCAGGTGCTTCCCCCAAGAATTACCACGATCGATAACAATCTCAATCATTTACCTCACCCCACAATTAAAACGAAAGAACATAGAATATCACCAATTCCTCACGCACCTGTACGGCCCCTGTATCGTTTCGTTGGCCATCATATAAGCCTGTCGTGGTTATAGAACGGCCTTTTGTTCTGTTTGGAAGCGGCCCAATCGCGGATTCCGACTCGTCGCGTTCTCTGGTCCACCCTCCCTTGATCGCGTTACGCAGTCCAACGACATCCGGCGAATTCCGTGGCTCAAAGACGATCGAAACACACAATCTCGCGACCCATCGTTCTCTTCTCCCTACTAGACCTAGCTTCTACACTTGAGACATGCGACAGGTGTGAACAAACGACAGGACAAGTGGGGATGGGATGATGCAAAGATGTCCTTATATCATTCTCCGATTGGGAACACTCGTTTATCACCGCGACATCGCGACTAGGTCACACAGTCTGCCTCTCTGATCGTGAACTAGGTTATAAGAGGAACACCTTTAATCACTGTGACATAAACTGACCGATCGACGGCGAGGTTGCGTCGAACGAACTCGCGATCAGCTGTACGTTCGGCGACTGTACGTCGGGCATGGCGGGCGTGCCGAGAGCCCCGGCGCACCCTCTTGTTCCTCCCTGCGTCCACCTCGATCCTCGACCCTCCCCAGGCTCTCTTTCTCTCTCCCTTCCCGCGCTCCAGTCCCCAGAAAATGTCAATAAATCCGAGCATGGTTATTGTCGGCCGTACTGTGCTCGTTCCGTTGGACGCGACGCCCTATTCGTCGGCTTCGAGCGACACGCATGGGCAATCGCAGACCCGAAAGTTCGTCGAGCCGTTCTCGCGATATTCGAATTTCCATGTTGAATACTTGACGTGTGTAGCCGTTGTTTACGCGACCCTTTGTTAACGAATCAAGTGGAATTATGGAGAACAATGTTAAAATCAGAATTTGATGACAATGGTACGGTTCGATTAAACGTGACCGTTCACGGAAGATTCACGCTTCCTAAGGCGTTATAAGGGTGATAAAGAAAATGGTCCAATACTTATAGGCCTTATAGTAGGGGAGACCGGGGCTAGTTAATTAATTTTTAACATATCTAATTATAAGAAATGATCCATTCATATTTTGGTGACTTGATGCATACCAAGAGTTCATATATTTACTTAGGTATACAGGCCTAATTTTGATAATCATTTTAATTGAGCCTGGGTTGTAGTTTTTGTCATATTTAGATTAGTGCGAGCAATAAGTCAACAAACCCCGGCTCTGGGGTTAATTGACTAATCATTTACTTTTAATTGTTTAAGAACAAAATAATAGTATTAAAACGAATTAAACATTTAATTGTTCATATATATTTATTCTAACGAACTAAATAATGATTTGTAGGAAAAATTATGTGAGTCACAGATAATGCACGCATAAAACACTATATTAGAACTGATGCAGTTTTTGTGAGTCTATCTACGAACGCTATCACTCTAAGGTTTATTAAATACCAAGCATTCTGTATCATATTCCAACTCTGAGGATAATCCCACCTATGCTTAGTCAAGTAATCCCGACCGATATTGTAACTTGTTAAGGGCCGCCATATAGAAAACCTTTACACACCGGATAAAATGAAGTACCGTAAATTATAGTCAATGCATCACATTTCCAAAAAATATTCATGAAAAAGTATTATGCAGTTACTTAATGGACAGAAATTCATAAATAATCCGAACAAAAATGTTTACTCATCGCCGATGTTTTTAGATTTTTTGTTCTCATTGATATAACACGCGAGTTTCTGTCACTGCGACACATTACATGGCGAGATAGTCATTCATATTTGTCAATATCGCGAATAAAAGCACCATTTATTCTATAATACAATAGTTAAAGGTAGTTAGTCAACCGACCTCATTAGTCAAGTAGCTCCGGTCTCCCCTACAGTTCGATTCTTAAGATTCACCCTTCCTAAGGCGTTATACAGGGTGATAAAAAAAATGATCCGATACTTATAGACCTTATAGTACTCACCGAGGGAAGTAACAAATGTCTAATCAACGTAGGTCGTAAAAGCAATCATTTCCCTGTAAAATCAATTATTATTATTTATCACTGTTCCATGTCATAACTGGTTTTCTTCTCAACACATTGAATTTATACACTTCGTAGACGTAGTTGTAGAACTAATAATTATATTATATTATATTATATTATATTATATTATATTATATTATATTATATTATATTATTAATTATAATATTAATATGGAACGCTAATGGATAATAGAAGTGGATTTTCAAGGGAAAGGATTGCTTTTAGGACCAACGTTGATTAGACATTTTTTACTTCTCTCGGTGAGTACTGTAAGGCCTATAAGTATCGGACTTTCTTTTTATGACCCTGTATACCTTGGACAGGTCGGAAAATAGGATTACTCTTATGAATTTTTGTTCATATACAAAAATGTTTTAATCACAAGTCTAGATATATATCATTTTGTGTATAAATAAAGCTGTATTCTTTTATTAATAGAAATGTGGTATCTTCAGAAATGATGCCACAGCAGCCTCTTCCCACAAGGCCTCTTCATAGTTACAACATTGGCAGTAACAAGAATATTTCAGAGACTACTAAACCGATTTGAATAAAATTTAGTGTAAATATTCTTGAGACTATAATATAGTACTTGTCGAAGTGATTCTTTGATTCATGTCTTGTTTTTTTATTAACAAAAGAAAATTAAAATTTAAGTAAAAAATCTCAAACTTTACTTTGAGTAGCTCTCATTTTTAAAAAAATTAATTCTTCAAAATCGTCTTCGACGAGTACTAGTTTCTTGTCTAGTTTGATGTAGAAAAAAAGAAATCATGTTTCCGATAATACTCTACCGATATTTACATATGTATATCTAGTAGATGTTATCTACGTTGCCGCAAGTAGTGTAACTGTAAAGAAGCCTTAGAAGGAGGAACAGCTACGATATCATTTCTCAATGTATCAAATTTCTTTTAATAATAGAATGTAGCTTAAATTATGCACAAAAAGATGCATATCTTGATTATTAAATGAAACGTTTTTTGTATGAAAAAAATTCATAAAAGTAACCCTATTCTCCGACCTGTCAAAGGTATGTAATCCCTTAAAGCTTTTAAGTGTAGCCTTTTATTCGTTAAGTCATGGGATGTAAAGCTGAGAAAACGTAGATTAAGTCATTTATGAGATTCGAATTTTTATCTTGGGCACTTCATGTTTATCGACATTGTTTGCACGACCCTTAATTAATTCAAGCACTGTGATGTTAGGAGAACGCTCCTCGAGGGGTCAATTATTCAAAGTAACTGTTTGGACACTTATGTTTTCGCGAAACAGCATGGGCTATTCTATAAATAATAGTAATACGTATTTATTACATATTGGAGTAACTGCAATGAATACAGGACAAAGAAAGATGGTGGAAGTAAGAAACGAAAAAGAAATGATATTACTAAAGTGAATGTACAGTGCATGAAGCAAGGACGAAGGACAGGGTTCGGTGTAAAGATAAGTGTTCTAAGTCGAGGTACTTAGTACAAAAAGGAAATGTTAATAAAAAACTGAATTGGAATAGTAATTAAAATAATACATTTATTTAATTACTATTATTTAAAAACTACTTTTTAGATAGATTTACATATATTTAAAAACTACCTTTTTGTGCAGCTTCATCGAAATTGACGTCCAACGTTTGCGTGATGACAGTTCCGTCTATGAATGATTAATTTCACTTGTATGAATTACAAGAGTATTCTACAGAGAAGTAATTTAAAGAAATTTACAAGAGAATTCTCGAGTTTTCGTATATTTTAAATATAGAAAAGCACTGGAATATTTCGAATTAGGAGTATGTACCTATAAATAGCAGAAAAATGATCTACAGGTGATATTTTCGCCATATCTCGATACAAATTCAGAATTAAGATCTAGTAAGAGTGACAAGTAATAAATAATACTATTGTAAAATCAACGTTCTGTAGTATAAGACAGACAGACATGAATGTTCAGGTTCGATTTTCTCGTAAATGAATCTTTATACAGGCTGTCCCACCTGACTCTGCCACCTTCAATTATTCTCTTATTTGTCACGTACAAAAAAGTGGTTCGATAGAAAGTTAGTGTATTTTAGGGGGGAAATTAGGCTATGAGATTGAAGGTCTTCTCAAGGTCAAATCTTCTGAGATTTCTCGAATGGTAACGTTATTTTAAATAAAATGCCCTATTTTTTTTTGCCATTACGAAGAGGAGATTAAAACGTTTCCAACAATGTATCACACTATGACCTTGACATGACCTTGGGCTGAAAATTTCGCACGTAACTGGTCGAGGTGGAAGCTCACAGAAAATGAATTGCAGAATCAAAATAAACGCCATAATCGCATTATTTATTATTTTAGTGTATGTTCCCAGTGTTGTCACCCCATAGGGTATCCATCCTCTTTGTAATGGCAAACAAAAAAATAGGGCATTCCATTTAAAAGACGTTACCATTACAGAAATCTCAGAAGATATGATCTTGAGATCACCTTCAATCTAACTTTCTCCCGAACCAATTCTTTGTGCCGTGACAAATAAGAGAATAATTAAGGGTGGCAGAGTTAGGTGGGACACCCTGTATAAGGAAAACATTCAATTTGTTTTTAGCACAAAGCATACATTCCAAATATGTCTCGAAATTAGTGCGTGTTTACTAAACCAAAGGATTTGTTATTTCTCTATTCGAAAAAGGTAATAAAAACATTACCTCTGAAACGATATGAATATTCAAAATGACCTATCATGCGCTATATGGGCGTTGTGCACGGACGAGCGACGAAGTAATTTCATTTCGTATAAATTACACGATATTTTGGTACACAGGAGGTACGAAGCGTGGGAACGTTTATCGATCAATGCGTACAATGACAAAATTTATGCATCGTGTAATCGACAAGGTAATTATATTGTCGGAGGCGGGTCGTGTAACCGAACGCAATTTCATTTTGATCATAATCGAGGACATCGTGTAACACGATAAAGTGAATAACTGCCTTCCTTTTGGATACGACGCGGCTCCTGCAGATATTCTTCGTGCTCCGCCTTCTATTTCGTCGGACAATAGCGCACGATGATGCTCTTACCGTGGTTTCAATGGAGGACGTTAATTAATTTCATTTCTCATTTTCATGGTGGCTACGCGTAAACAAGAATTCCTTTAAATTCATATAGGGTGCTTTTAGAAAGGTTGTACGGATCTTTCGATGCTTGGACAA